CATATATACATATGTATATACTTGCTTATATACATGTGGGTGCTTTCACTATTGTAAGAGAAGTTATTTCATAAAACTGAGTACACATTTATCATGTAATTAAATGCAACTCTTACATAGAACATCATTTCTTTAAAACCAATTCTAAAAATAACCATTCCTAATATGACTGTTATTATTAACTAATGTCAGCTAGACAAAGGATATTTGTTTTGAGATGGTGGAAACGATTTGTAGCTCAGGTGAATGATTTTAGTGAAGTTTTATTGTTTGAGCTGAGAGGAAAAAAACTCCACCAAAGGACATGTGTTTCGCTATAGTTTAAGATTAATCTCAATACACCATTTTTAGTTGGACAAATCAATGTGTGAAAAGTTTATTTGCAGATGATCTGTTACTAGTGTTACTTGAATCTCTATCAAAGTTTCACATTATTACAAATTGATAATATTGACTTTATGATAAGTAGAACAAAAGGAATTGATGCTGAATGATAGTCAACTGAAAATTGATTAGTTTTCCATTATCAACAAGGATTTTACAGAAAAGAGATATTAGTTTGCCTGAGTGACTCTGATTTTTGTTTACCTAGTAAATATTTTAAAAATAGAACGTTGGATATATGAGCTTTAACGTTATTTCATAAATAAATTCACTTTATTCATCAAATATTCTTTTGCTTAAATCAATGAAGCTAATAGGAACAGTTGTTTTATTATAAATCTAATATCATTCTTCGGTTTTTAACTGTGTATATTACTATTTAGTGCTCTAACGTAACCACAAAAAAAAACTCGGCAGACGAAGATTTAATCACTAAGTCAGTTTAGTATTAGATATTTTTCGGTCATTACATTAATACATCATTTGGTTCACTCAGGAAAGAATTCACTACAGGTAAGTCTAACTGATGGACTTAAAATTGACTAACGAGATAATGTTATGACATATGATCACTGAACACTTAATTAAGGTTATTGAATAAATAATAACTCATGAAAGAAATCCCACTTCCATCACAACCTTGCCCCTAAATGCCGTGGTACGGCCGAGAGTAGAAAGTGTCAGCTCTCCTTCTCCAAATGTTCTCATATGGCCACGTGCAAACAACCACTGCCAGGGAAGTCCTACTCATTTCCTCAAGGCGGGGGTGTTGTCTACGAAATTGAGAGGATGAAAAGCGAATGTCCGGCGCTTTAACCCAGTTATGGACACAGAGTTCACCTAGGAGAATTGGAAAACCCTGATTTCAAACCAATGGTTCACATGGGCTGCAGTATCCTGAGGGAACAAATGACGTATGAACCAATCGTTGGTCACCGGCTACCATGGGACTACATCTTACGATGCACCACTGTCTTTTGGATCAGACTTTTAGGTCAAAGGCTCCGGGAGTGGCCCACTAAGAAAACCATCTGCTTCGGTTTGGGCACCCGGGCAGTATCATAGCTGTAACACAAATTTGATGGTGTGGCACAAATGTATTTAATGCTTCCTTGTACCAATGTTTATGTGTTTGAATAAAATAAAATAAAAATATGAAAGCAAAACCCAGAATCTCAAAAGAAGTGGTAGTCTTTAAGGGTAGACATTACTTGAGAGTCGATTAAGAATCGTGGTGTATTACGGATTTATTTTATCCAGGTCTATCGATTCATCTCAACTAAGGACAGAACAAAAGATTTTCAGGTTTTGTGACGAGCATTAAATCTACAGACCATCTAATTCACACTTCCAATCATTTTAAAACATGGTAAATACCACTTACAGATGAATCTCATACCTGTAGAATCTCTTTTAACGATAAGATAATCACAGTTATTCAAGATAGTGTAAATATTCTGAGAAACTGTAAATATTTGAATGGTTAAATTGATAAGACATTGAATCTATATTGAAAATAAATCGTTCGTCATAATGAACAATAAAAACATGATTGTACTTAAATAAATGATCGAGATTGAAGGAAATGAGTAAACGAAAATTATGTCGTTATTCGCTATTCTCTCACTACTATCAGTTATCTGCTGTATTGTCAATATTGGTAATATGGATACACATTACTGACTAATAGAAAACTCAAATAAAATCATTATTCCTAAATAGTATCTTCATTTTTCTTAAATTTGTTTGTTTGTTTTTTTAATTATTAGAGTTATTGGCATTTCACGTTTTTTTTTCTAAATCTTCACTACTTTGTCTATACGTTTCCCTTATTACCACCATAAAGTGGAAATTTTCAGTTTGTATTAGTGGAAAGCTTTGATAGACATTCAAATAACTCTGATAGCAGATCATTCAAAAATTAGAAATAATCACTAACACTATCCATTAATTGTATTTGTTCATAAATTACCCACTCATTTCTTCAACTTGCTTCAAATGTTTGGAGAGATAAGTATCAAGCTACAGAGAAACAGTTGTTCTTTGCTCAATTGTTTTCAATGGTTGTTTAACTGATGTCAGTTAAGAATACTAGTTAATTTGAAATCAAACTACTATGAAGAGATTTTTCATTACGAATCGATAACATTAGCTAATCAGCGATTGAAGATCAAATATTACTAAGCAGTCATTGTATAATAACATAAAATTTTTATCAGTGGGCTCCAGTAACTTCATGTGGAATGAAACTTAGTATCTGCAGGACTTTTAGGTGTTTGGTATATAATGCTAAGTGATTTCAAAATTAAAATGAAACGACCGACTGATGTTACCTAATTACCACTGTTTATTTCGTCTCTCTCAGTTCAAGATGAGAATTATTTACAAGCAAACATTTATTTTTAAAAGGGGGTTTTGTTGAGATTTTATAGTTAAGTTCATGAGTCAATTAAAGCTAGACCGCCATGGAGAAAGTGTTTTTAAATGAAAAATATTAAAAATCAATGCATAAATAATAATTTGATTAACGATACTTTTTCAGAGAAATGAACTAATTTATCATAATCAATTTGTTTCACTGAGACTTCTTTGAAAAATTCGAAGTCTCCAATGTTCACTGAACGGTTTTTTCAAGAATGGATTGTAGAAGATACGTAAAACTAAACTAATGAAGACGATGTAGCTAGTCACTAAAAGCTTAATCAAAGTGATAGATTTTTTATATTTGTAGATGCTAAGATCAAATTCGTGAATAAACGGTAACCACTGAACATAATACTGTAGTTTACATTCCTGACTTTTAATCAAGAAAATTCTTGATTCTCAGTGCTTGTCTATCTTCTAGTCTCATATCAAACTATGACAGCCTTTTATTGCTGGAATGAGTTGGAAAATCAATAACATATCTGACTATGGTACACTAGTATGCATAGATTACGTTTATGAATGGTGCTTCCCTGAATCCACTTCGTCTCAAGAAATCAAACATATTATGAAATCTCCTAACGCACTATAATCATGAACAATAACAATGAGTACCATTTAATTATGATCACAAACTGATATGAAAAATGGAGGTAATCTCTAGTAAATAAACTACCTAACGAACACTCTGTTGGGAAATGTGACATTTATCATTCTTCAAACTGACGTTATAGCTGAGCACATTTCCTAATGTATTTATGTTATTTTACGGATTACCTAATAATGAGGAAGTGAAGCAGCAGTCTCCGCATTAATACGCCTCGACATACACAAAGGAAAAAGCAAGACTCTCAAATACAACGCAGAGAACATCAGCCCAATCACACTTGATGGATAAATCTGGAAGAAGTGGAAACTTCCACATATATTGGCAGCATCACCGATAGACAAGCACGATCTGATACAGATGTAAAGGCAAGAATTGTCAAAGCAACGGCGGTATTCCCACAGTTGAAGAACATGTGAAACTCAAAACAATTCTCTGTCAACCAATTTCATAGTCACAATCTTCAATACGAATGTCAAGACAGTTCTACTGTATGCAGCTGAAACTTGGAGAACTGTCTCAACTGTCATCAATAAGGTACAAGTATTTGTTTACGATTGTCTACGCAAGACACTAAACGTTCGTTAACCGGATACCATTAGCAATAGCCTAGTGTGGAAGAGAATAAACCAAGTAAGAGGTGAAGAGGAACTTAGGCAAAGAAGTTGGAGGTGAACATGAGATCACTGTGGAAATCATCAGATTGCATCACGAGACTAGCCCTAACTTGGAACCCTGAAGGGAAGCAGAAAAGAGGAAGGCCAAAGAATACATTACGCCGGGAAGCAGATATGAAAATGATAAACAACAACTGGAAAGAGCTGGAAAGGATTGACCAGGACAGGGTTGGATGGAGAGTGGTTGTGGGCGGCCTATGTTCCTCCACGAAGAGAAACAGGCGTACGTAAGTAATGAGGACTTTATTATTAGGAGATCGCTGAATATAATAGCGTACAATTCGACAATAATAATAGTGTTATTCAGACTGATATCACCTTTGATTTTACATATTATCTGCATTTTTTCTTCAGTTTTTCATCAACTATTTCACAAACGTTTAGTCAAACTGATTAATTTATAAGTCATGCCATTAGAAATAAGTCTATTCTTGTTATTTCCATTATCTTCATGTAGTAGTCCTGATTAATCCTGAAAATTGATGTGTGTTCTATGATCATGTTCAGAATATATCTTATTCAATGTATCATCAAAAGAAAACCGCTAGAAATAGTCAACTTGCCGTATTAACTAAAAAATTATTTAACGTTAAATGTTCATAAGAATCATATGCTACATAGTCGAAAGTAAGCAATAAAAAGATTTGCTTGTTTGCTTGAGTGAATGAATCACCTTTGAAGAAATTTGTGTATCACATAGACTTAATCCAGTATTCATTAATATCTTAATCAAAATTATTAAAACAGAAGTGATTTCGCATTATTTCTATCTCCATTCCTCATCTATTCTATGAATTTGATCAAATACACAAGTCTTTCACCATTGTAATCAAACCAATTGTTATCAATAATTCAAAACAGAATGAATATAGATGAATAGTTTAAATAAAGAATCATTATAAACTTACATATTCTAATAGATCCGATGCTCTAGCTTCTAATTCTTGCATACGTTCTTCTATTCTACGTATTGCTTGTCCAGCTTCTTCACGTTCTATTTCATATCTTTGAAGACAATATTGAAGATGATCTAGCTATCATTGAATGTTGATATTTTATGTTACAGAAGAATGTAAAACAGAAAAAAAGAAGAAGCAAAAATGAAGTGATAAAAGAATCCTGTCTTTTTGTTGTGTTATTGAATAGCAGATTGACAAATTAATTTCATCTTTTGGTCAAAATATGTATTTTTGGTAGTGAAATTCATGATATTCATATTTTGTTTTACTTGAGACTTTTCTACTGGACATCAATCCATTATTTTGGTGATATTCTTTACATTAGAACGCTAACTCAATACCTTTCGTTTCAAAAATACCAACTCATTAGACACTGATGTCAATATTGGCGAAGTACGCTCAATATGCCCATATACCAATGAAAATAGTGCATTTAATTTTCATAATATCAACAACAGGAAAGTCAAAATACTTCTATGTGAACCCCAGTTCAAGATATTATACTTTATAGTATATCTAAGAGTTTTCACTAAACACTGATGAATAGTCTTAGCCTATAACTGAAATACTTATTTAGTTTAATTTACATATAAAGTCACAAAAGATGAATTCAACGAAAAGAAAAACAACATCTTGTTCAATTTATTCATTTTTATAGTTAAACAATCTAATATACGTGTATTACACTATTAGCTTATAAATTAATTGTTTATTACAAGAATGTGATTTTCCTTATAGTTTTGATCGGAAAATTGACTACTTAATTTGCAGTAAACACTTATAAATTGAATAGTTTATGAGATAGAAGAAACACTGAGGGTTAATGTAATTAATCGAAAATTTAGAATGAATAACAAATCAAATAAATAATCAAGAACGTAGAATAAATTGGAATATTTTTGTATATGAGAAACATATTAAGTGATGATTAAGACAAGTTTATAATCTACTGTTTTCTGTTTAAACAACTCTTGGATTAAAAGCGAAGATGGATAGTGGCTAGTAGTGAAATTCAGTTTGACGCACGTTTCATCCTATTTGATACTCGTCAGATGGATGTACCTGAACCTCAGAGTTGGTGTTCAATATAAAACTCGAATCCAGTACCGTTCATTTCAAAAACCATCGCCCTGCCCACTTAGCTGTTCAGATACTTATGTACTATCCATCCTTGATTACAATGCTTGTGAATTAAGGCAATATCGAGGCAATATGCACAGTATTCATATATACCTATAAGAGACAGGACAATTGAAATGCTAAATAACAATAGGAAGATTCAAGTAAACGATAATAAGCGAATTTGGTTCTTGGATTTCAGTTGTCAATGGTTACAGTCTCTGAAGTGTAAATCGGGTCTAAACTTATACCGTTTTCAAAATATGACTGATTTATACAAAAAATGCCTGTATATTTTGCAAAGTTGCTATGTTCGAGATATTATGGTATCACTTTAGTAGCGGCAAACAAATGTTTACTAGAAACACGATAATACGACGAAGCTAAGCTATCCCTCTGTGTGCCAGCCCTGCCAACTAGAAGAAGAAGAAGAGAGTCAGCACGAAAAACATGTAATTCTACATGAAGGCCAAAAGAACAAATGACAAGCACTCGACACACGCGTAGTATCTACAATACAAAAATGTCCTTGAAAAGCGTCACAAAATAGAGCACTAAAAGGGCAAACGAACCAATGACTTCTAAAAGCTTTTCAGGTGTGAAACACAAACTGAAAGTAAAAATGGGTGCTTTTGTCGCGGAAATGAGAAATTCACATTTCCACAATTAGATTACAAACATAAAAAATTTACCAAGTGATTTTTGAGAATCTAGGTTCCTCAATAGAAGTACAGAGTTTGCTTGATTTATATTGTCCTTCATTAATTCAAGCTGATATATATATATATATATATATATATATATATATATATATAATTATACGGAAGGAGTAACATCGAGGAATAAATTATTCTTTTGCTGAATATCTCATATCTTGACAGTTATCTATAATATATTTTTTAATTTTACTGAAACTTTATTACCCAACTCATTGTTTTATAGTTAAAGCAATCGAATTTTTTCAGTCTTATTACTTGGCATTTTGCCTGAATTGCTTCAATATTTGTATGTGTATGCATATGCATTTGTATTTTATAAATCATGAATTTCCATATTTTTATCTATTACTCGGGAATGATTCGATTACTGTCTGGTTATTTAATTCTAATCTAATATTTTCCATTTTCTTAGTGTATCCTGAAGCTCTTCCTACGGTTACTACCGGTCTCAAGCATGGGTTAAAGAGAAGGACTAGGCATGAGGTAAGCAATTTCATCCCGTAGAAAGAAAACTTTCCAAAATATTTCTAACTAGAACAAATCATTTGAATCACTTAAACTCTGCCCCTGGATTTGGTGGATGTTCATTTAGAAGAGTTAGGATGCCTCAAGGTGAAAGTCGATATTCTTCGTAAGTCGCAAGGCCAGTGGAATGTCCGGACAATGTGGAAGACCGTGAGCACTAATCAAATAGTTACGGAAATGGGAAAATACAAATTGGTGGTTCCCAGAATCGGTGAAACCCGTTGGAACCAAGCTTGACATAAAAGATTAAATTCGAGAAAGATACTTTCGGACTTAGGTCATGAAAAAGAAAATGCTTTGTATACACAGGAAGCTGCACTGATTATGTCTAAAGAAACACAAAAAGCACTTATAGGATGGAAATCTCATGGACTCAGAATCGTCAAAGCATGCTTCAAAACAAAGAAGGGATTAAAATGAACGTTATTCAGTGCTGTGCGCCCAGCAGTGATAACAGTAGAGACGATGAAGACCAGTTTTATGAGAGTCTGTAATCAATTGTAGAGAAGTTCCAAGGAAAGGAACTGACCATACTGATGTCAGACCTAAACGTCAAGGTCTGAGTGGACAACACCAAGTATGAAGACATCATGGAACAACATGGACTAGGAGAAAGGAACGAGAAGGACGAGACATTTGCAAACTCTTGTGTATTCAACAAAATAGTTACAAGCGGAACAATATTCTCACACAAAGGCACAAACAAAGATATATGTGTCTCACCAGACCACCTTACGGAGAACCAGATTGATCATATCTGCATTCAGAAGGTCAACTGAAGACGTGAGAATCAAGAAAGAAGCTAATATAGCTTCAGATCACCACCTGGTGGTTGCCTAGATGAAATTGAAGATAAAGAAGCATTGGACAACTGGACAAAAAGCATTGCATAAGTTCAATACGGCCTTCCTTCGACATACTGACCAACTCAAGGAATTAAAAATAATTTTAGGCACCCGGATTCAAACCTTACAAGATCCACTAGGGAGAAAAACTTGAAAAGGACTAAAGAAGTACTAACTTCAACGTGTCAGTTGGTTTGGTAAGTGGATAGACGAGACATAAATAACTAATGATACAGAATACCCTGAAAAATACTCATAAAATTGTTGAGTGTGTATTTTAAGATTCAAATTGAACAGTTCGTTAGGATAATACACAGATCCAGGTTTAGTCGTTCTTGCTTTACACTCAAAAAGTTCTAGAAGTATGCTACTTAATATATTCAAAGTAATGTAAAACAGTTCTTCGGACGTTTTTGGATGGTTGTCAAATTCGTTCAACTTGCTACAACGTAATCTTAATCACTCTAGTTTACCTACACTTATTGATCACTGAAAACTCCTGTCTTTCAAATCATTAAAACACAATGAATTCTGTCGATAAAATTCAAATGTAATTATTTGTCTAAATGACCCAATATCACGCACACCATACTTTAAAGTAAAAAGATTACAGGCAGTTGACTTTAGCCCATACACCTAATCTTTGGGACAACTAACATTAATCATCCACGCATATCCGGAAACCTAAGGAGATGTCTATTTCTTATACTATTCAAACTTAAGTCACTTTCATAAGTATCTGTCAGTTTTTAGTATCAGTTTTATTCTTTTCATTTAATGAGTGCTACCTTCCCTTGTATATAAGTCATATTATACTATCTAGTAGCCATATTAAAACGTAATCAGTGAAATTGAATTTATGATAAGAACTAGACAAACATCAACTCTGAGGTTTAGGTACATCCAGCTAACGAGTCTCAAATAGAACAAAACGCGCATCCTGGATTCCACTGCTAGCCACTATCCTTCTTTGCACATAATACTTGTGACTTAAGGCTATATCAAGTCAATCCGTACAGTATGCACATATTCCAATAAGAGATTGATCAATCTCAGTGGTAAACATCAATGAGACGATTCAAACAAGCAATACCATGTGAATTTAAACATTGTATTGGTTACCATTCAATATGGAAAGCTCATTACTGTTGCTATACAAATAGCGATTCCAGTTATAACACTAAGTTATATATATATATATATATATATATATATATATATATATATATATATATATATATATATATATATATATATATATAATCTTACGTCATATTTCTACATTACTGAACTTATATAGTTTAAACCAAACAGGTGTGTATGTACCTTCACACATGTGTAAACATGATTATTTATTTAAATTCAAATTTAAATAAACTATAGAAAAAATCGATATGAGGCCAAAAATAATCGATCAACTTTAACATTTCTTTCCTTAATAAACGAATTTTAATTTTTATATTGAAACTAGATTCACATGTTAGCGAATGCAAACATGCACGCACATGCACACGCATGCATATGCACATGCACACACGCACACAATGATCAAACAAACATCAGGATGAACGCAACATTTTCTCTTAACTATTTTATACATTTATTTACTCAAATAGAATATTGTGTCATTTGCTTCTAATTTACCAAAAAATATAACAATCATAATCCGTACTAAACAGAACCATTAAAGTATATATATAATGCATATAGTATGTTGGTTATAGACTTTATTGACTTGGATCAATATTCTATGTTGCCAAGTACTCAAACAATTTTAACATTTAAACAAAGGCAACTAATCATTGTAAATTTAATTTCCATATAGTGATATTTGATCTTTGGTTGTTTTTTTTTTATATTAAGAACA